ACTGAGGAACAGATGTCAGCATTCTCCTTGGATCTGGAGCCTTCCAGGATGGTTCAGTAAACAGCTCATCTCTCTAGCTGTCCAGTCCTTCGTGGGCTCCAAGAGAAAAGGGTGGTGGTTGTGCTGGCTGGGAGAGGCATGAACAGACTGAAACCGTGCCTCCCTAGCTGTGCTTAAGAAACTTTTTCCCAAGTGTTTTTCCAAACAGAGGGAGTTCCATAAAGCGACATTTCTCCCTTTGAACTTGAGCCTTTTGGCATTTTCATTTACATCTGCTTAAACACACAGGACCAGGGCTTATCAGTCCAGCATGTGCGGGGCCTTCTAAACCATGAAAGGAAGCTCTGGTAAAATTATGATTTTTTTATACCTGACAAGCTGTGACCTGTAGAAAGCTTTGAGTTCTGGCAGAAACACAAAATCAATTGAGTTTCATCTAAACCATTCTCTGGCTTTCAAGACCCTTTGATAAATCTCAGATGGAAATTCTTCAGTCCCACAGAAGCTCAGGAGGGCAACCGTACACTTTGATTTTTGACTTTATCATGTAATTGAGGTGGCGTTTTTATTGATCAGCTGCTCACTGGATCAGTGGGTTTATTAATCTGCTTTTCTAGTCAAATAACTTGATGGGACTTCATTTTAAAGTGATTGTAGTGTCTGCAATAGGGCTCCCCATGGGCAGTGACCATAAGTTACTGAAGTCAACATTTTATTACAAAGCCCACACACAAGCAGGGTAAAGATTCAATCAAGATGGGAAAATTGAGAGCCTTAACATCAACTTCCTGAATTACTGCAACAATTGGCTTCTTTGCTTGGGGGGAAGGGGAAGGGAGAAAATTAATCCACTCTCCACACTCCAGCAGGAGATATCTTTCTAAAACACAAATCCGATCATGCCTGTACTCTGTATAAAGCCCCACTGCTCTTGGTATAAAGAACAGAAGACTCGCCCTAGCCTACAAGATCTTCCAAGTCCTACCTTTCTAGGCTTATCTCTCGCCCCTCACGCTGAAAGCTCTGCCACCCAACTCTTTACAGTTGAAGGAAACTCACCAGCCTCCCTCTTACTTCTCGGCTTTTAAACAGGACAGTCTTTCCGCTTCCCCTACTCTTCAGCTAACTAATCCTTATTTGCCCTTTGGGACAGTTTAACTATCACTTCTTCCAGACTCTTTGGGAGTTTACAGCATTTAACACACCAATTTGAATTTTCCTTCTATCTTTGACATTAGATTGTAAATTCTTTGAGAACAGGGATCGCATCTTAGACACCACGTTTATTGCAGCGTATTTTGTAATACGTACACATTTTTGCCCCTCCAGAGTATGTATTCCTCTCTGGAAACATGTTGTATGATGTCTGTCTTCCCAGCCAGAGAAACCTCCATGAGAGCTTCTCTGGCTCATCCACAGTATATAGCAGGTTTGGGACACATAGGAGGCATTCAATAATATTTTGCTTAATATTAATGTAATATTAAAAAATAATGTATTTGCTTAATTAACTCTCTGCAAAGCCTAGCACAGGGTCTGGCAGGTACTCAGAATTCACTGACTCTAAGGCACCACTGACGGTGAGATGCATCACTATTTAATACGCCTTGGGAATGGGAAAAAAGCCTCCCCCAAATGATGACATACGCTTATTGAAATGATGACACTATGCTTTCTGATTACTTCGACATTTTTCTATTTAGTGTAAGAGAATTATTTAGTCATAGATATTTATCATAGCTCTTGCAAGTGTAAAAAAGAAAATATAAGCAAAATAAATTGCTTGAATTCCCTAAACTTCTTCATACTCAAGAGTCTAACTCTGCTGAATTACCTTCTAAATTCAGAGTGGTCATTTGTGCCATCACGAGTGTTGGTGTGGCACTGTTTTTTCAAAGAGTGTGCCACTATTATCTCTGGGATTTTCTTTCAAGCCATTGACACCCACCATTTTGCAAGTTTGGGGGCTAGAGCCTTGTTGATCCTACCAAGTGTTAGATTTCAAAGGACAATTCATGTGCCTTTCTCAAATAGTCCGTAAGAAGTCAGGTGACAGAAATAGGAAGAGACTCAGTTATCCAACTGTGCCACCAGGAATGGTAGGCAAGTAGTACAATTGATTGTTCCAGCTGACAGTAATGCAACCCACCATTAATGTTAAAATTTAATGTAATTTTAGAGTAATAAAATATGAATAAATATCTGGCCTAGAATTGATGCAATGTATAGGGGGAAGGTATAGCTCACTGGTAGAGTGCATGCCTAGCATGCACAAAGTCCTGGGTTCAATCCCCAATACCTCCATCAAAAATAAATAAATTAATAAGCCTAAATACCCTCCTCGAAAAAAACTGATGTAATAGGTACGTGTACTGAATAAGTGAGGTTGATGGAGAAAAACATACAGAAAAATAATTCTAGGAAGTTAATCCTCAAGATATAAGTAATTTCACATTCAAATTCTGGTCTCATTCACTGAAAATATACTATGTGCCAACTCTGGTGCTTGGTTCATTTGTTTACATTATTTCACTTAATTTAACAATATGTGCATAATTCCCAGGTGCTATAATCAGTTCCCAGAGTGAAACAGATCTACTTTATTTATCATTCTGTCTCCAGAAATCCTCATTGACCTGGAAATTACTCACATCAATATCATAATAAAAACTGATTTCCACAATTTTGCAATCAGAAAAGATCTTCATAATCATCAATTAAATATTGGGTTCAGCGTAGTTTTACTGTCAAAGATATTCTATAATAATTCCTGAGGACTGGTAATCTATGTCATGCATATTCTTTTTAATTAAAATATTTAATTAACTTGAAGTTCCCATATGGCTTCAAAAAGCAACTATTAAATTAAAATGCAAAGACTCATACTCTTAACTCAAAGATGGAACAAACAGCTAGAAAAGTTCATTTCAGCCTTGGTTTTGAAAAAGTCTGAAATGCTGCAAATAGTTTCAAAAGGTATCTTGAAATTGTCAAAACAAATATCGAGACAAAATCAAATCCAATTCTCTCTAATTTAAAAATATAGGCACGCTATGTAAGGTAGAATTAGGAGACTGGGTGTTATACTCCAAAGGCTAAGAATTACTCAATTGGGTAAAATCTCCACCCACATCAATTTGAGACCAATTCTCATAAAACCAGGGGTGTGTGTGTGTGTGTGTGTGTGTTTTGCCAAAGATAACCAATTAATGGATCAGAGCTATCCAAAGCTTATCTGATGATGAATCTTTCAGGAGATGTTGTCTCAAGTTATCTGTTATCTATTAATCCCCATTTCCTTCCAGCCACAGAGCCTTGGCTCCTTCAAGCTGCCCTGTGGCAGCTCTGATCTATATGCTGTGAAATCATCCCAGCCGCATCATTCTCCAGCATTATTTGAAATTTGGGTGTTTGACATCCGAAGAAGTGGAGAAAAGTTCCATGGTGGGCCTGACAGTACAGAGGCTAATTTCTAAAGGGCAGAGTAATAAAATGTCATTCACTCACACAAGCCCCTGCGGTTTTCAAAGCAAGAGCCAGTGTGTTTTCTGCCACAATCTCAGAAGGGCAATTAGTGGAGGGGGAAAGGGGCGGGGGAGTCTGAAGTCTTGCCAGTGTGTAACTGTACCGGCTACAAAGATCAGTTGTTAGCTCACTTCCCTGGTCACTAGGGATAACGTGGATGGTGGTCATAATCTACGTGGTGAGGGTGATGCTTTGGGATGTGTTTGTTTGTTTGTTTTTAATATTACAGTGGGTGGTGCTCAATCTGAGGGCCAGCCTAATTTACATAGCTGCACAAAGCCCTGCGCCTGCAGTTAGTTCCCAGTTGAAATGGAACTATCCTTACCGATCATATGAGCAGGACTTTCTGACCGGGGCTGGAGATTAGAAGGATTCATTCACCCGTGGAAAGGCCAAGGTGGGAGAACTCACCCCTCCAGAGAAGGAAGGAATCTACACGAGCGGGAAGAGAAGAGGGAGAGCAAAGCCCAGGCTGCGTGGGCGGGGGGGGGGGGGGAGGGCTGTCAGGGCAGCGCTCCAGGCCCTGCGGGCCCAGGTTATGTCCTGTCCTCAGGGCGGGCATCCCCAGCAGGCACAGAGGGCACAGTGCCTGGGAACACAGTACTTTCAGGGGCCTATGAAAAGGTTTTATTTCTTTAGAAATCAAGAAGGAAATAAATGAACTTTAATGTTGAAGAAGATATTTTAATATATAATATTAATATATTTGTCTTTATTCCAACATAAAAGAAATTATATTAATTTCTTAAATTAAATTAGAAATTAGAAAGAAGTGCCTTATGCCGACCAAAGTCCCCGTGTGGTCCTGCCTGTTGTACTGGTTAAATGATACAAAATGGCTGAGAACCAACCATTTTAGACCTACAAACAGAGTGGCTAGTCAGTGTGTAGAAAATTTCAGTTATGGAAGATGAATAAGTTCTGGAGATCTGGTGTACAACTGAGTGCCTGTAGAGGACAATCCCGCACTGTACACTTAAATCTGTTAAGAGGGCTGATCTCATGTTAAGTGCTCTTACCATAATAAAATGTAAAACAAAATACAGTTTAGACCTAATACCTACTCTCAGAGGACCTTTTGCTAGTGTGTAGAAAATCTCAGCTCAAGTTAGACAGGCAGAGAAGGTAGAGAAAGCAGTCCTGTCTTTCCATGCCTCCTACCTCTTCCTGTCCCTTCTCCCCTCTTTTCTCCTGCTCCCTCTAGTTCTTCTCTCCTCCCTCCTCCCCTTCCCCTCTCCTTTTGCGCCCTCCTTCTCTTACTTTTCCCCTCTCTCCCTAACTTCCAGGAATTTTCTTATGGAACCAAAGGAAGGTTGGTCATCTCCAGTCCTGGGGTCCCGAAAGGACCTGAGACTGTTCCAGGCACTCACCCTGCTCCTCCCACCTCTCAATGCCATCTCTGCTGTCCTTCTCTAGGACACAGATAGGTTCCCAATGGGATCAGCAAAGCCCAGGTGAACTCAGATCAGGGGTACCTGAAGCTCTCCAGGGGTTGGGACAGGAAGCAAGGCCCAGAGACACATCAATTTCTGAAGCTCTCTTGATCTTCCCACACTCTTCCTCCATCCTTCATTCCTAGGATCTTTATCTGGTGAGGAAGGAAAGAGGGAGGGGAAAAACAGAGTCTACCTATTTGCTTATAATTTACAATGTTTCTTATCATTCAGGACAAAGACTTTGCTATTAAAAGCCAAGAATTTGCATTTTTTTCCCCTTCTGATTCCATCCCTGACAACTCTTTAAAGAAATGGATGTCTTCTGGACTAGCTCCCCAGTAGGGAAGTCGCCAGGTAAATAAGGACTATGGCATAAAGCAAAGAAATTACAGACTCACCTATCACCCACTACAAATACTAATTAAACTTACTAGGGCTAAATCCCAGAGTTGACTATCATGGAGAATAAGGCAGTATGTTATCAATATAAATATAAAAATAGATAGAGCCCTACTCTCAAGGAACTACAGTTTAATGGAGGAAAATCCTGCCAATAAATGATACAAGAAAATGAACATAAATGAGGAAAAGGGAAGTGCCAGGTGGGGGTTGACAGAAGTAGCCAGTATCCAGACGTCCCATGGTGATGAAAAGAGCTTTAAATCTACGGCACGGTCATGGGTGATGGTGGATGAACTACTCTGGTCTGTAGCCTGTTGAGGAGGCTGGGTGACTTCTGCCAAAACTCAGCCCAGAGGTGCAGTTAAACATTCAGACTTAGAGAAGTCCTGCAGGGCCGAGAGGAAGAGGACACCTGCAGTCCAGGTGGAAGAAGAGAGGACTGACTGAGTGCTCATCCTGCAGAGCCATGAAGGGAGGAGCAGGAAGACAAAGGGATTTGGCTCAAGGCTTTTATTTATCTGAAAATGTCAAAGAACCTTTGTTATATTACTGATGTTCAGAAATTTTGAGAGAAAAAAATGAAGAAGATGGCCATTATCCAGCTTCTATAGAGAGAGTAACAAAAGCAAAATGGTTAACTTCTTAAATATATCACATATCTTGAGTAGAACAAGAACAGCAGGGGAGAAGCACAGAGCCCATTTTGTGCCAACTTTAGTTTGGGCTTAAATGGTGAGGCTGGAAGAGAGAGGTGGAGCTGGGGAGTGGTTAAGCATTAAATAATCAACCATGACTAATCGCTGAGTTTAGCCTGAGTGAATTCACTCTGCAAGCATAACGCTCATCAAAATGTAGCTTATGCAAGGCTCCAGAATGGGCTGCATGTCACAACATAGAGCTACAAATCCCTGCTTTGTCTGCAAAGTCATAATCAACAGGGTCTAAGGTGTAGCATTCGGTATGGCTAGGTGACATGGAATGGTGCCCCAGGTGAGTTCACTTTTGATGAAAGTAGGTGAAGGTAAGCATTTTATTTATTGCATTGTTGAAAGTGAATCTGTGTAGTCAAAGGGTTGTTTGTTTGTTTTTTGGGTGGGGGAGGTTGTTGTTATTTTTAATTCAAAGAACATGCTATAACAAAATATAGCTACCTTTCAGGACAGACCTGGATTCATATTCTAGTTCTGTATTTCTGTATTGAGCTAGCTACATGAGGCAATTACTTTATCTTAAAATGAGTCCCCTTCTAGCCCTAGAGTGCTATGATTACATTATTTGGTTATTGTGAAGAGCCTGGTAGGCACTTTCCTCTGAGAAGGTGGAAGAGCAGCTGAGGAAAAATGTAAGACACCATTAAATCTACTTACCGTTGCATGTTGGAAAGAAAAATAATGAATTAAGTAGGGATTCTGTCAATTTCCTTCCTACTCCATTCTTTACACTAATCCCAGCTTTCAAAAAAAATGTGTATAAGTTATGTAAAAAACTGCATAAGGGTGAGCCATAGGACATTCAAACTTACTACTTCTCCACTGAGCCCACACACTGAGAGGGGCATACAGTTGGAAGTTTTGACACATTTGTGTGGAATTTTGAAAACGGGCTATGTGTTTAAGAGGTACCATGCTATATATATTAGCTATATTTGAGTCTGATCTATACCAGGGTTTCTTGACCTTGGCACAACTGACATTTTGGACTGAGTAATTCTTGGTTGTAGGGGGCTGTGCTGTGCATTGTAGGATGTTTAGCAACATTCCTGGCTCCTACTTACTAGATGCCAGGAGCAAACTGCTCCCCCTCCAGGTATTGCCAAATGTCCTCTGGGAGACAATTGTCACCACCATCCCCTCCACCCATTAAATATTATGGTTCTGGACAAAATGACCAGGTAGACTATGATGTTTGCTTTTGATGTGTCTGCCCCTGCTGCCTTTCCTGCCCCCTCCCTCAGCCATTTCTTGATTCATCCATTCAACAGATGTTTATTAAATAACTATGTGTTGGGTACTGTACCGGGACAGTAATTAATAAGCAGTGAACAAGAGGATAAGTAGTGAACAAGAAGGAATGATACTGGCTGTCATGGAGTTTACAATTTTGTAGGGGAGACGGCGTGAAAAAAAATCATAAATAAAAGAGTATGTAGTGCAAAAACAGCAGTTCAGGGAAAGTGCACACACAGTTACCGCCATTGCTTCCCCAAATCCTGTTACTATTATGGTAAAAGGTTTAGAAAGACATAAACCTACAAAGGAATGGTAGTTGGTAGAGGAGGAGAACAATAAAAGTGATCAAAACAATGAGTTAGATGGATAAGATGAACTTAGTGAACTTAGAGGAAGCTGAAACCCAAGACCCACAACAAAACAAACCCTCATGATGCTTGAAAACACTGGGCTCAGAGAGGAAAACCTAAACGTCCACAGATGAAGAACCTAAACGTCCACAGATGAAGAAGAAAGCAAAACAGATCACATGCAAAGATATGTGAATCAGAATGGCATCGGACTTCACAATGGCAGTGCTTGAAGCTGGAAGACAACAGAGCAATACCTTCAACGTTCTGAAGAATTCTTCCAACCAAAAATACTATACCCAGCCAAATTATTAAATAAGTAATAAATAGAATGAAGATGTTCAGGATATTCAGGGTGTCAAATTACTTCCCAAATGTTCCAGTTTTATATCACTGCATAACAAACTACCTCAAAACTTAGTGGTTTAAAACAACTCTATCCCATATGTTTCCAAGAATTCGAACAGAGCACAGAGGGGACAGATTGCCTCTGCTCCTCAGTGTCTGAGATCTCCGATGGGAGGACTGGAAGAGCTGGGAGCCTGTCAGGCTCTTCTCTCTCTTTCTACATAGTCTCTCAACATGTTTAGCTTGGGCTTCCTCACAGCAGGAAAGTTCAGATTAGTTCAATTTACATTGCTCCAAGACAATAAGACAGAAGCTGCCAGTCCTCTTGAAGACCAGGACTAGAACCATCATTCTCTATTAGCCAAAGCAGTTACAGGCCAGTCCAGATTCAAGGGAAGAGAAATATACCCTCCTTTCAATGCACTAAACCAGTTCTTAATAGATCAAGAGGTGTTCTGTTGCCAGTAAGACTGGGATTGAGTTGAAGAACAAAATGAACTATGTGAAAAGATAAAAGATCTACCTTTATGCCTGTTGAAAAGAAACCAAATGGATGAAGCTTATGTGACAAGACCAAATCACACCAAGTAAGGAATCTGGATTGTGTTTATTTGAAATTACAGGGAAAGAATATGATCTGAGCCATATTAAAAACAAAAAACAAAAAAACTCCCACTTTGCCGTGTAGCGAATGACTTGTGAGGGAGCAAGCATGGAAGCAGGGAGACCAGCTGGATAGCTACCTCAGTTGGTGACTTGGACTAAGAGAGAAAAGTAGAGAATAAGAGAAACGGTCATATTTGAGATAGATTTTGGAAAGTGAGCTGAACAGATCTGCTGATGGATTAAAAATAGGAATAAGAGAAAAAAGGAATCAAGGTTGATTTCTAGGTTTTTTGTCTGGAATGGCTATATAGATATTAATGTCATTTACTGAAATGGTAAAGAAAGGATAGATTTGAGAAGGGAATCAAAAATTTAGGATTGAAAATTATTAGTTATTAAATTTCATATCAAGGAGGAAGTTGGATATGTAAGTTTGGAGCTCAGTGGAGCTGATGAAATTAAACTGGAAATCATCATCATTCAGGTGGTATGTAATTGCCTAGAATGAGGATATTGATAGAAAAGAACAGAGAAACTAAGACTAATCCTTTGGAATAATCAGAAATATAGGAGTTGAGCAAAGAAAGAACACCCAAAAGGAGGAAAACAAATACTGTCAATGATATAGGAGGAAAACCCAGAGGAACACGATGTCAGGGGAGCCAAGGGAATTTTAAGAAAGAGAAAAATTAACTGCGTGCTGATTGGTCAGTAAGAGGACATCAAAGAGAATGTTGCCATTATATTTTGCTAGCTAGTATCACATATAAATCTTGGTGATCTTGGAAGCTATAGTTGAGAGGATTAGGAGGAAAGGATGTGAGGGGTTAGAAAAATTAGGATTTGAAGAAGTAGGTGGAGAAAGAACAAGGAGCCAGGGTTCCCTTAGGAAAAAAGGATCCAACACCTCTCACTCTTTTTCTGAGAGATGTAGAATTAGGAAAATACATCAAGGTGCCTTGTAAACTTGATCCAAAAGCTACTGTTGTAGGAGTAGACAGGACTGGTGGCTAGCCCCGGCCTGAGACAGAAGTGTGATAGTACTTCTGGGTATGAACAGGAGCACTGAATAAACCCTGATCTACTCTACGTGGATTTATCTTGCATCCTTATCAACAGTGTGGGTTGAGACAAAAAGATCTGGTTGCTAAGAACTGTAACAATAAGGCCATAGCCAGATTCTGGCCAGGAATTTTCTGTGACAGAGCATAACCTAATTAAAAATCACTTTCCCATGGAAAATTTCTGTGAATGAGAAAGGCTTTTCTCTACTCCCTTAGTCCTAGTCACAGTCAGGACGCAGTTTTACCTGTCCTGGTCCTGACTTAACCTCCAGAATTAACTAGAGAGAACTAACCATGGAGCATTAGCAATTTCGTGCCAGCCAGGTCTCTGCTACCACCAGCCTGGTGGCAATTAACAAAATCAAACTCATTAGCTTCATCTTGGGATTTCTTAGCAGCCTGGGGAAGAGTGTTAGCCCAGAGGACCCTGACC